GGTGAGGGAGGGGGAGGAAGGGGGGGGGAGGGGGAGGGGGAGGGAGGGAGACCACCTCGAGGAGGAGAACGCGGCTGTCGCGGAGGCGGTGAGGCTCCTCCAGCCGATGCCAGAGGAGTGCCCTGCAGAGAAGGCGGAGGACGAACCTTCCACCGCCGCCACCGCAGCTGCCGCTGCTGCCGCCGCCGCCGCCGCCGCCGCCGCCGCGTGGCGCGCTGCGCGGCGGCGCGGCGGCCGGATGACTGCGGCGAAGAGGTCGTTGGACGCGTCCATGGCGAGGGCGGGGCCGAAGGGCTGCGCCGCCGCCTCCTCCTCCAGCGGGACGATGCCCCCAAAGAGCCAGAGCACGTCGGAGCCGGGCGCGCCGCAGGCCGCGTGGCTGTGCCGGCGGCCGGGCCGGTCGCCTGAGGGTGGAGGCGGCTCTCCGTCACCCCGCTGCTCCCCTCCCAACTCGCATCCCAACTCGCATCCCGCGCGTGCGGCCAGTCGCACCCTTCTCGAGCAGCGACCCCGCCGGCAGCCAGCGCCACGCCTCCGGCTCGCCGGCAGAGCAGTCGAGCACAGACAAGTCGGAGAGAGCGCCGTCCGCGCCGCAGTTGCCGCCGTACAGCGCGACCGTCGTCCCGGCCGCGCCGGCGGAGTGTGCCCACCTCGGAGAGGGGCACCCCTTCCCCTCGAGGGCAACCCACCGCAGCGGCCGCCGCATGCAACCGACCCCCCGCCTCTGCTGCCGCTGCGAGTCGCCGCCCGCCTCGTCGGAGACGGCGCCCGCGATCAGCGCGTACGAGTCCGAGTGGAAGACGTTCCCGTTGGCGCCCCCGTGGACGACGATCGCGCGGCCCGCGCCGGTGTCGACGGCGACGGATGCCTGGCCGCCGCGGTCGGCCGGCGGGAGGCCATCTGCGGGCGTGCGGACCCAACGCGGCGAACGGAGGGTCTCCATGCCGCGACACAGGCGGCGAGCCTCGTCCGGGCACACGCGCTCCCACGGAGAGTGCGGGTACCGCTCCTTGAGACGCTTGAGCCAATTATCGCGCACGGCCGGACCGAGCGTGGAGGAGACGCACGCAAGAGCCTCGAGCGCCTCGTCGGTGCAGTGCGAGAGCACCAGCCCGACAAGCTCGGGTGGGAGCAGTGTGAACTCGGCCCGCATGCCGAGAAACGTCGCGGGCTGGCCGAGGCGAAGCTATGTCGGCGGTGAACGCGGAACGACGGCGGCGAGGCCGTCCTGCCGCCTGTGGCTGGACCGTAAAATGAACGAAAGCCTGGATTTCTTCTTTTGTGAGAGGGGCTTGAATGGTGATCTGTGATCTGTAAGGGTCCGCCCGCAGGCGCATTTTGTATACCGAGGCGGTGCCCGGTGCCGAACCTGTCGGACCTTAAGACAGCATTGTAGATCCCTGGGCGAGGGTGGTGGCGTCCCCGTCGGGAGGGAGGGGCTGTCTGGCGGAGGAGAGCAACCAGGTGCCCGGCGGCGTCCCGCCACATCCGGATGACCTCTCCTCGTTGTGCCAGTCAGCCCCGTTGGAGGTAGACCGCTCGTCTAGCCACAATCAGCCTTAAGCGAGCGGTCTGGCCGTTGGAATGGCCGAGTTTGGTTGACTTGCGTCCTCGCGTCCGATCGTGGTTGTACAAGCAGCATTATGAACAAGTTACCATCTCCACGACACACTCGGGGAGGGTAGGGCTTGAATGGTAGAATTCTTCTCTCTTGGATTTGCGCGTGCTAGCACGCTGCATGCCACGCATCACGCTGCGCGTCGGCGAGCAATCGAGCAACGGAAGGCTCGCCGGCTTAATCTGGCTTTTTTGACGGCTTTTTTGGATTCTCCTGCAGCCTTCCTAGTACCCGCATTAATTATCGATCGTGTACGTTATAGTCATTATTTATCGTGGACAAGCCCATCCACCGACCGTCGCGCGCGAGGGGGGCCGCCCCCCTTTGCCCCACCAATACGTTTGCCTTACTTACCTTACCTTAGTCCTTACCTTGCCTGGCGAGAGAGTACCCCTTTACGCTTTAGCTCTCCTATCTTAGGACAGCGAGTTAGACAGCGAGGCCGAGGGCCTGGAGAACACCTCGTCCGCCCGCGGCTGGCCCCCGATCTTCTCCGCCTTGCTCTTTGTCAGCCGCAAGCCGCCCGTGTCCGAGTAGAAGTCCTCCGCCGCCTGCAGCCACCGCCAAGTCCCCGCCACCCTCCACCAGCTCGCCGGCTCGCCATCGACGCCCACGATCTCAAATTTGGTCGCCTCGTGGGTAAAGGTGAGGTCGTCCACCGGGTCGAGGATGGAGATGGTGCCCGGACCGGCTCGCATCTGGCACCGCGGTTTCACGAACGACGAACGTAGTGATCGCGTTTTTACGAGTGATGGTCGTCCTTTGGCGGAAAAAGGCGAGCGTGAAAGTCATGGGGCACGTGCCCAGCCAGCGTGAACACCATGACGTTGGAGCCGATCCGCCTCCACTGGCGTTTCTTTTCAGCTTAAAGTTTCGAAGACCTTCTTTCTCCCTTTCGCACATTCGCAGTAGGAAGGCGGAAATGAGCGGGTGGCTCGATGTTTGCTCGGTGATCCAGCTTTATTTAGAGAGAGATTTGAAAACCAACAAGAAATCACGACTCTCACAGTGATTTGGGTGGGGCGAAGCTGGGTGCGTGTGGCCGTGGGGCCGGAGAGAGATTTTTAGCAATACCAAACAAACAAAGTGTTGTGCGGGGGTCGGTCCCGTATTATAGCCGAGAGCCCGCGCCGATGAGTTCGACGCGGTCGAGGTCTCTTCTTTATTTAGTTAGGACTCCTAGTTGGAGAGGTGAAGACACAAACACGGATCACGGTTCTCTCTCTAGGTCTAGCAGGGATGCGCCAAATCTACCCTCCAACCGAGCTCCCTCGGTCGGTGGCGTGCACCTCGATCGATCCTGGACCGTGTATGTAGGAAGGTGAAGAACAGTCAGGCTCGGACTGGATGGACACCAACGGCGCAACGCCGTATGGGTGGACGCTGTTTGTTATGACCCCCCCCAATGAACACACCGCGAGGGAGGGCGAGACGATCGAGGGGTCCGTACCCTGCGGAATCGGCCCTATCCCAGTGCAACAGGTTAGGTTAGGTAGGAAGGTGCAACAGCGCAGCAGCAGGAAGCCGGGAGTTTTTCGCGCCTCGCTTGACCGAATAGCCCGAGAGTTTGGACGGTCAACGCGTTACCGCTGTACTCCCCGCCTCTTGCGCCGCGAGCGTGGCCGGAGCTCGTCCTCTCCGTCGGCGTCGGCGGCGCGTGGCATGTCCCTTCTCCTCGCGCCGCTCCAATGCTCGTACTCGCCGTCGGCATCGAGGCGCGACGCTGAAGGGCGCGTGGGAGTCATCGTCGTAGGCGCGGGATGGGCGGGCATGGCGGCTGCCGACACGCTCGCTCGCTCCAACGTCAGCTTCCTCGTTCTCGAGTCCACCAACCGCACCGGCGGCCGGACGCACTCGGTCCCGTTCGGCGACCCTCGCGTCTGGTCGGGCGTCGTGGAGCGTGGAGCCAACTGGGTCCAGGGCGTGGGCGGTGGAGCCGCTGGCTCGAGCAGGAGCGCCCCGCGTGCCCCGGTCGAGAACCCGGTGCACGCTCTGGCTCGGCAGCACGGGCTGCGGACGCGACGGATCTGGGGGAGTGGAGACGGCAACATGTCCGGCTATGACGCCGTCTACACCTCGGACGGCGACGCTCACGGAGACCCCGGCGGAGAAATTCGGAGGTGGGCAAACACGGCGCTCGACTGCCTCAACGCGACTGCCGTGGCGGCGAGCGACGACATGAGCGTGCGCGACGGGCTGAGAGCGTGCGGCTGGCGCCCGCGAAGCGAGGTGGAATGGGCCGTCGACTGGGCGATGAGCGGCGAGGACGCCAACGGCGAGCTAGCTCGCCACCAGTCCCTCCGCTCGTTTCTGCCGGACGAGGGCTACACGTGGTGGGGCCCGCACGACGACTTTGTGATCGACCAGCACCCGCGGGGCTTCGCACGGCTGATCGACGCCATGGTGCAGGACGTGATCCCGCCCGGCGACTCGCGCATCCTCCTCAACGCGGAGGTGGTAAAGGTCCGCTACGGCTGCGAGGGCGTCACGGTGACCACGCGCGACGGCCGCGTCCTCTCGGCGGAGCAGGTGATCTCCACGCTCCCGCTGGGTGTGCTGCAGCGGCGGCACGCGTCCCTCTTCGACCCTCCGCTGCCGGCGCCGCAGCGCGAGGTGCTCGAGTCTCGCGGCATCAGCATGGGGAACCTCACGCACGTGGTCGTGCAGTTCCCGCGTGTCTGGTGGGACGACGGGATGCTCAAGTGGCTGAGCGCGAACCACGGCTCCAACCAGAGCCGCGGCGAGTTCTCCCTCTGGCACAACCTGAACCACGCGTCGCTGCTGCCCGGCTCGCAGACCCTCCTCACCTTCCTCGGCGACCCGCAGTCGAGCCTGTACGAGGGCATGGCCGACGCCGACGTGCGGGCGGCACTGATGCGCCGGCTGCGCGCGCAGCACCCGAGGACGCGGATCCCAGACCCGCTGTCCTTCTTCATCTCGCGCCACGGCTACGATCCAAACACGCACGGCGCCTACTCCTTCTTCGAGCCGGGCTGGCGCGACAAGTACTTTGCCACACTGACGCGCCCGCTGGCGGCGCGGTGCGGCGCGGCGCAGGGCGGGGAGGAGGTGGTGCGCGTGAGGCTCGCGGGCGAGGCGATGTGCGACGACCTGAGCGGCTACACGCACGGAGGCTACCAGTCGGGCCGCGAGGCGGCGGCGGCCTACCTGCACGGCGCGGGAAAGGGGCCCGACCCGAGGGACCACGACGAGCTGTCGCTGTGCAACTGGTAGAGTGTGGGGGAAGTAGAGGAAGCAGGAGGCAGGCGGCGGGGGTAGGACAGGTATCGGCTGCCAGCGCACGGCGTGTGTAAACTCACCTCAATTGTACCATTTCGGCTGTGGCGTTGTGTGTGTTTTTGTCGATTGTCGTCAGAGATCGATGTGAAAAAGGTCTTGACGCACCGCGACCGAGTTGTTGAGGTAGGTAGGTAGGAAGGTGAAGAACAGTTAGGCTCGGACTGGACACCAACGCGGTATGGGACGCGAGACTGTGTTGAGAGGTCCAGGAAAAAGAAAATCCAGCGCCGACGCCGTCGCTCGAGGCTGCGGCGGCCGATGCGGCTGCGGCCGATGCGGAGTGGCTGAATAAGGCGACGCCCTCCATTGCAGAGTCGGTCGGCAAGAATGCTGGGCTTTCTCCCCTTTACACCCTTCACCATCAGCGCGAGCACTGTAGTCGTCGTCGTGGGACTCTGCGGCCTCCTCGGCTCGCATCGAGTGCTGCGCTGGCCTCTGCTGCTCGTCGCTGGCGCTCACATCGCGGTCGCGCTCTGCGCTGTTGCCGCGTTGGTTGCCACCCTCGCGGCATGGGATGCGCTCGTGGCGCGCTTCCGCCTCGGCCGCGCCGAGTCGAAGCTGTTTCAGAGGCTCGACGCAGCGACGAGCCGCGCCGATTTCTTGGAGGCGGCGAAGCAATGTGACGAGTCGGCGGCGGTGACGGCGTGGCGCGCCGTGGCCGAGCACCCGCGCTACAATGCCGGGATCGTAATGAGCGCTCTCTCACGCCTACGTGCCGCGCGGGTCGGGGGCAGCATCGAGGAGCTCCACGACGCCTTGGCACACTGCGTGCGCAAGTCGTTTGCGGGCATAGACGACGAGGAGCTGTACTCGCGCTGCCACGCAGGCACCAAGCGGCTCATCGAGTCCTACGTCGACGAGGTGGTGGCCGCGCTCGGCGCCCTGCAGACGCGGCTCAGCGACGATGGCGAGGCGCCGGCCCTCGACAAGGCCCGCGCTCTGCTCTGGCGCAGCCGGCGCGTCTTTGGCCGCACCTGCCTCGCGCTCTCGGGCGGCGGCGGCCTGGCAAACTTTAGCTGGGGCGTCGCCCGCGCGCTGCTGGACGAGGGCCTCCTGCCGTCCCTCATCTGCGGCACCTCTGCCGGCGCGGTGGTGGCCGCGGCTCTCTGCTGCCACACGGAGCGCGAGCTCGACTCGCTGCTCCGGCCAGAGGCTCTGGCGGCGCAGCTGACGAGCTTCGAGGAGGAGCGGCGGGTGGTGCTACGGCGGGCGCTGCTGACGGGGCATATGTACGACGCCGCGCGCTGGGCGCCGAAGATCCGCACGCTGTGCAACCACGCCAAGCACCCGCACATGACCTTCGCCGAGGTGTTCTCTCTCACCGGCAAGGAGCTCTGCATCACCGTCACCGCGCGGCGGAGACACGAGCCCCCGCTCGTCCTCTCGCGCCTCTCCTCGCCCGACGTGACCGTGGCGTCCGCCGTCCTCGCCACCGTCGCCATGCCCTTCCTCCTGCCGCCGCAGCGCCTGCTCTGCAAGACGCCGAGCGGCGCGCTGCAGCCGTGGGCGGCGGCGAGCGAGTCGGACGGCGGGGCAGAGGTGGAGTCCGGGCCGGACGCGGGAGGGGAGTGGCGCGACGGCTCCATCGTGCACGACACTCCGCGCGAGCTCCTCGCGCAGCACTTCGGCGTCTCGTACACGCTCACCTCCCAGTGCAACCCGCACGTCGTCCCGCTCGCTCTCGCACTCCGCCCCACCGCCGGCCGGCCTGCCGTCTCTCGGCTGCAGCGCGGCCGCAGCGACTGGCGGGGCGGCTTCGCGCTCAGCTCGCTGCTGCTGCTCCTGCTGAGCGAGGCGCGCAAGTGGCTGACGGTGATGCGCGAGCTCGAGCTGCTCCCGCTCATCCTCGACACCGACTGGTCGTCGCTGCTGCTGCAAGACTTTTCGGGCGAGGCGACCATCCTCCCGCCGATGGAGCTCGCAGACTACACGCGCGCCCTCTCCGACCCGACCGCCGCAGACATGCAGCGCTACCTTGGCATCGGCCAACGGGAGTGCTGGCGGAAGATGTCGATGCTCGCCACGCGGCTGCGGATTGCGCGGGCCCTGCAGGAGCTGCAGGCTGCCGTGCTGGAGCGGGGCGGCGAAGCAAAGGCGGGCGATGAGCGCGAGAGCTCAATGTTTTGACACATTCCGCGGCGGGGCCCGGTTTGAGATGTGGTATCAATGTGGAGACCATGTGGTGTGAGAGTCTCGAGTCTCGTAGTCGTAGCGGCTCGTACGTGTGTGCTCTGTCATGTGAAATTCGTGGACTACGAAAAAAGATGTATAGCTCTTGCACGCGCCGTGCCACGTGCCACACAAAAGGTACATAACAGGCAGTCAGGGCGCGAGGGTGTCAGGCGCATCCTCTGCCATATCCTCCTCCGCGTCCAGTGCGTCCTCGATCTCGCCGACGAGATCCTCGACAACGTCGCCCACGCTCTCCATCTCCTCGTCCGACGGCACGGTATAGCTCCCGTCGGGCCCACACCGCCCAACGACGTAGACGGGGTCGAGCATCCGCAGCACGAAAATAGTCTTGCCCTCGTGCACAAAGTCGGCAAGTACCACCATGTCCTCGTCGTCGCTGCCGTCGAAGCTCGGCGCCGCGTCCTCGATGAGCTCGTAGTCGCGCTCGACGGCCTCGCCGCTCGCCGTCAGCACCACCGGCGTGTCGTGCAGCTCCGCGCCCACCGCGCGACACGCCGCCTTCGCTGCCGGTAGCAAGGTCGTTTCGAAGGCAGGGTCGAGCGGCTCGAGTGTCCCTTCGGACTGCGTGGCGAGCGTCGCGGGCGCGTTGGCAGGGTACAGCGCGGCGTATGTCGTCCCCTCCACATCGACCGTTCCCGCCACAAAGCACGGAAGCACGCGGCCGCCTCCGGCCTCCTCCAAGTTGACGCAACCGGCATCGGAGAGCTGCGGCGAGGAGCGCACGCCAACGAATGGGCGCGAGATTGGCGTGCCCACTCGAAGGCTCGGGCAGGGCTTACATGTGATTAGGAGGAGCAGCGCGGCGGATCGCGTGACCAGTGGTGACATCTGAGGTGACTACGTGGCGCCTGCGTCTTCCCCTTTTTTTGTAGTGCCAGTCCGCGCCAGTCCGCGCCCTTGTCGTGCCAGTTGTGCTGTGAGAGAGGCTTGTATTAATTCTTTTTTATCTTCTGCAAAGCAAAATAAAATCAAGCCGGCTGTCGATCGTTGATAGGGACAGGGTTTGGGAAGAGGTGCAGTGTCGTGCTTTGACGGAGGAGTCGGTGTTGTAATCTGAACCACGTAACGGCTTTCTGGCTTTCATGGCGCTCGCCCCTTTATCTCGGCTGCAAGGCCAGATTCACCGTCGCATCGAGGAGGCCGACGAGTCGCAGTCGCGGCTACGAGACGACGCGCTGAAACTCGCCGAGCAGGTGCAATGTCTGAGCGCCCGAGCCACCGAGCTGGCAGCGGGAAAGGAGGAGCTCTCGGTTGTGCTCGAAAGGCAGCGGCGTCAGCATGAGGCGGCGATGAAGCAGCAGTGCGAGGAGTCTGCGACTGCCCTGGCAGCAGCCGAAACGGCACTGCGGCAGAGCGAGGCCCGCGGCAAGGCGCGTGTCGATACGGCCCTGAGTGCCATTATCGTAAAACCACAGGACTCCTCTCCTACGCCCCGCAGGAGCAGCAGGAGGCGCTAGACCGCTCTCTCGCTCGCAGCCGCCACCTCGAGCGGCGTCTCAGCGCCTCCAACAAAGAGGCGCGCCACACGGGGCCACACGACACACGGGTACTGCACACCGGCGATCTGCAACACACGGATCCATCACAGGTCGCGAGGCTGCGGGAGGAGTTGCAGCAGTTGCAGCCCCAGTCATCACGGACGCCTCCGTCCTCTCCGATCCACACGAGCGACATCGAGCGATCCAAGCGCGTCGCCGCAACCGTGATCTTTCCGACTGAAGTCGCAGCCACCCCGCAGAGCTTGCAGCCGCCAACTCTGAGCCCGAGACTGACCCCGAGGGTGCGCGAAGTCGCTTCTGCGAGAGGTGCGCGGCTGGCAGCCGATCAGCCGACGGGGACGCCGCGTGCACTGCGACGGGAGCCGCCGGGACGAGCCGCTGCCTCAGCGAGTGCCGCAGAGCAGGAGTCTAGCCCACTGTCCACGGAGCAGCAGGGGCAGGTTGCAGGCGAGATCGCTTCTCGGCCAACGACGCCGCGATGGATGCTTGCACGCCCGTGCTCGGCCCGCATGAGCGGCGCTGCAAACAGTACAGGGACAGAGGACGGCGCGGCTGCAGGGCATTCGAGCGAGGCGGGGTGAGGAGAACCCGGGGGGCGCGCAGCAAGTGAATGTATTTTTATGTACATCAATGAAACGTGGACCTGTTCCCTTTTACCCATCTCACAGTAGAGGTGTCCGTTTTTATTTATTTATTTATTTAAACGACGACCTTGGTGCTTGGACCTGTAGCAGACCTGTAGGCGCGCGCACCGTGCGAGACGCGAGAGACACACGAGCGGTCAGAGAGAGCACTCTGAGCGCATGCAGAGAGAGAGCGAGAGACAGCGACTGCGAGCCCGCGCCATCGGCCCGCGCGGAGCCGCGCTCTCCCACTCGATCCCACCGACAGCGAGAGGCCGAGAGACGCTCGGCCTCGGGGCCCGAGCGCCGAGGGGCCCCACTAGGGGTCGGCGCGGCCACAAAATTTTGTCCCCACTCACAGTTATTGTTATGGTGTTATGGCTCTCTGGGCATAGCAGCCCATAACATGTTATGGGCTGCTATGGGAGGGCCGTCCCGGGTCCACGGTGTTATGGCCCGAGAGGCCACGCCGGACTGCTCGCCGCTGGAATTTCCGCTTCGCGCGCTGCCGCGCGCGAGGTAGGTTCGGCATCGATCGCCAAATATTTTCTCTTTTGCCCTCAAGTTAAATTCAATAACATATGGCGCCTCCTGAGGCTGAGCGATGGCTTCAGATTGCTCAATCAAGACCAGCCGCCCCCCCCCCCCTCACGCAATTTGCTTCCCGTTTCTAACTCGTACTCTCTGCAGCTCTGCACGCTTCCCTCCGTTTTTAACTTGTATGTCTTTCCCGCAATTTAACTCACGTCCTTTTTCTTTCCTTTGAGTGATTCTGAGATCAGGTTAGTCGTTTCCCCTTTGGAGGCAGACATTTCAGAAAGCGAATCCCAGGCCGCATCTCCCCGCTCGAAGCGGGGAACCCGTCCCGGGCGCCCGCTGGAAGCGGGGGGCGCCCGCTCGAAGCGGGGGCGCCCGCTCGAAGCGGGGGCGGCGCAGGCTGCCACCGCTGCCCGGGCGCGCCGAGCGGCGGCGGAGGGCCGCCCAGGCCACCACCAGTGCCTCTCCCACCGGCGGCGCGGCGGCAGTGGCGCCGACCGCCCCTCCATCAGCGGCGGCGCGAGGCTGTCGTCGGGACGCCGGCAGGTGACGCGCGAATAGGGTGCCACCGGACCGGCCGACGAGCACCCAGCGGAGCCGTCATCGTGCATGGCGAGCCGAGCACCGCCGCGTCGCTTCTCGGCGCATTGGAGAGCAGAGGAAGCTGCTGGCGTCGCGGCTGGGATCGGCAGCGGCGCCAGCAGCTTTCTCGGATCTGAAGCGACTTTGAGCGCCGATCGATCGATCTGAGGGCTGACCGATGGGTGGCGCTGGGAGGAAGACCGCGCCACCCGTCGGCCAGCCCTCAGCTCCGCGACGGCGACTCGATAGTCGTGGCCGGCGCTCGGCTGCCACTCTAAGCTGTGCCGCCAGGCGCTCCTGGAACCGTGACGTCACTTCTTATGGATGCGGCACTAGGGACGCCCAATGTTTTCGTAAATATAGAAGCCACTCTCTCGCGTGTGGAAGCCACGACTGCGTAGTCGTGCTCCCCCGGAGCACGCCATAGAGCGCCGGTTGTGTACCGGGCGCACCCGTGCAGCCGTACACACTGCTGCCACTGCCAGGGGGTCGCCGCAGGCGCCCCAAGCGGCGCGGAGCGCCGCCGCAGGCGGCGGACAGCAGGTGCGCAAAATTAAACGCCATTTTCGGTTCCGCAGTTTTGCCACTAACGTCGAAATCCGGTACAAATCGAGACTTACGAGAGCCGAGCCCCCCACGAAAACCACAGAGGGGCGCGCGGACAGCGCGCCGCCAGGGCGCCGCAGGCGCCTCAAGCGGTGCGGAGCGCCGCCACAGGCGGCGGACAGCAGGTGCGCGAAATTAAACGCCATTTTCGGTTCCGCGGTTTTGGCACTGTCTACCAACTTTGTTGGTACAAATCGACTTGCACTTGGTCTGAGCCCTGCGCTGCGTTTGAGCCTCCATTCTGAAAGTGTACGTAGAAGGGAAGGCAGCAGGTCCGGCTTGCGAACTCCGCTGTGCGCCGACAAGCGGTATGGCGCCGAGTAGAGGCCATTTTCCTATTAGAAAAGGCTGTCGAGAGCGCAAAATTTTCTTCGCTGCGCGCCCAACCATGGTGGGCACGCAGCGGGCGCCTGCGGCGCCAAATTTTTGAAATGTCTGCCAGTCGCCCAACCTGATCTCAGAATCACTCCTTTTTCCACTACATGTCTCGAGGTTTCTAAAAAGTGGGAGGTGTTATGAGGTTTTGGCCGAGTCATAACAGCGCTGTTATGAGGTTGTTAATGCTGGCTGTCATAACAACCAGTGGGTGGTATTATGAGTGCTATGGGGTTTTGAGGTGTTATGAGGTGTTATGGTAGGGTGGGCATAACAGCCATAACAGCGATGGAGGTGTTATGAGGTGTTATGAGGTGTTATGAGCAGCCAGCCATATGACTTAGCCATGAACACCTGTTATGGCCGCTCCCAATCCCATAACCTTGAGTGTGGGCGGACAAGGCCGCCACACGGCCCACGGCGCACGGGCCCTCGAGAGCCCAGAGCGGCCCCCCGACCGGGCCCGTGTGCTTGATTCATACATCGAGATCTCTGCGGGACACCAGTAGATTTGTTGAGTGGAGATCGTAGATGCCGATCAGAGATCTTCCACACACAGCATCTCTCACAAAACTCAGAGATCTTTAACTGAAGATAGAGATCTTGAGCTGCCGCCATCGGCACCTCGAGATCTCAGGCCGGAGACGGAGATGTTGACTTCGCGCCAAAGGCGCCTCGAGAATCGTGTGGCCGACTGGAGATTGCAAAATGGCGCGAAAAGAGGGTGGAGATCCGCTTGAAGGTGTGAAAGGAAAAGAGCATCCCCTTGGAAGGACGTCGATCCCCCCCCTGACACGCCTCCCCCACGAGATTGGAGATTGGAGATCGGAGATGAAGATCGGAGAACGCGCCACCTTGTTGTATGAGCGCGCCGCGATGGAGCTCACCTCTAGTCTCTGGCATGACCGAGTTCGCCGCGAACCTGTATCCTCTAAAGACCGAGGAGGAGCTCGTGGCGCTCCTGAGCGGCATGCACCACTTCCCACCTGGCGTGCCTGAGCGTGCCCGTCGCGTCCATGAGCGGCTGCCCGCCGGGTCGGCACTCTGCTCCTCTGACGTCGGCGTGCTGATTGACTGGCTCGACACGGAGGGAGGCCTTGACGGGTTGTACAAGCATCTCGCGCACACCAAGGAGGACCTCTACATTTCGTTCCGAGCACCAACACGGAGGCCGCGGAGCAGGCGTGTCGAGCCGCCCTCTCGCCCTGCACGCGTTGCCCCCTTGTCACATGTACAACATGCACTCAAATCCGCCTGATAGGCCTTCGTCTTTCTCGCTCGCTCGAAGCACATCTTCCGCCACAACGTCCTCCCCCGCATTACCTACACATCGGTT